CATGCAGCTGAGCAGTCTGGTCCTGGATATCCTTGACAGTCCTTTCTAGAGCCATCTCTTACTGAAATAAACAGTAGGAGAGTAAGGAAACCTGAAAAAGGAAAAACTGTTATGATGCAATGCATGATATGTGGATGCATGCTTTCAAGGATCTCTTGGGGTAAACATAAGATAATGTTAGAGGTTGAACTTTGCTCTTTGATTGGAGAACTTTGCAACGGTGGATGTCTTTCAACGAGAATCAAGCTCACCATGTCAAGTGGGTCATAGCCCCTGATTCAAGTTGTTGCACTTGATCCTTGATTGGAGAACTTTTCATCGGTGGATGTCTTTCCACGAGAATCAAGCTCACCATGTCAAGTGGGTCATAGCCCCTGATTCAAGTTGTTGCACTTGATCTTTGATGGCATTTGTTTAGAGGAGGAACCTCTTTCCCTTTGGAAGACGTCTGGTTCAACGTAACCCTGCATCAAAAGAACCCTCGAGATCCTTGAAATGGTTATTGAAAATGCCATGGTATGATGTCATGATGTTATGTACATGTATGCAAAAGCAAGTGAGTGTATATACAGATAATCATATTCACATAAAGCAAACAAGTCCTTAGGTTTAGGCTTGCGTGGGGTTGTAGGTAAGTACCCTCTTGAAGTTAGTTGGCTCATCCTGTCCTATAATAGAAACCGGGTTCTAAGGAGCTCAATATCATTGGATTGTTTTCTATGTTCATTATTTTGGTTTAGCCACTTAACTGGCGACCAAAATATTCCAAGAAAACAACCCTCAATGAGTGTAGTATCGAGTATCTACCAACTTCGGACTGCACCAAAGTCAGTCATCTCACTACCCTTAAAAAGGCTAAGATGGTCAATTAAGGTTCTAAGAGTTCGTTAGTGCTTCACGACATCACTCAGCGGCCCCGTACTCTCCTTGATTGAACTGAAGGGTTACCGGTACTCACAAATATGTCACACTAATATAGCTTACTGCTTCAACCATGTCGGTATACCCCGCACAGTTCCCTCACAGTTTTTTTGCTATTTACCTAAAAAGGTGCCCCAAATCCGGGTGTAGGATTTACAACAAACCCAAACAAGGACCTAAAGAGTAAAGCAATCAAGGCAATCAAAGCAATAAAGTAAAGGTGATCTAAACCCTAAGGTAACCCCACTTTTAGATATGTCCCCAGCAGAGTCGCCAGTTCTGTGATACGGTGGGAGAACTGACTTGAGTTTTTTTAGGCAGGTTTACTGGTTTGACAGTTTAAGCTTGAGGGCTTTGAGGCTCTTTGGCTTGTATGGTTTGATGCAGGTTAAAGCTTGGACAAGTTTAGGCTTTAGCAGGTTTTGAAAAGGGGTTTGAAGGTTGAGCTTGAGGCTGTTTGTTTCATGTTTGAAACAGGTCTGGTGTTAGGCTTTTGATATGTGAGCTATGCAGGTTGAGGGCTTTTCTTTGTGTTGGAGGCAGGACTGTCTTCTTGACACAGTTTGTCTTATTTTCTTGTTATGTAATCCGCCTTTTTCTACTGTTCTATAACAGTTTTGTTTTTTTATTCTTTAAGCCTCAGCCCTGTAAGCCTTTCTTCTTTCTCTCTCTCTCTCTCTCTTGACAGATTTAAGCATTTTTTATTGCTTATGATGTACTATTCTGAAAAAGCACTGGCTTGGGAAATGATGCATTTGAACATTGCTTACAATATTTGTTTAGCTCTGCATACTTTTATCTCATTTTCCAGATTTTCTGCATCTTTGTGTACTTCTTTGACAGCCTTGAATAGCCTTTTGATAGCTCTTTGGCAGCTTGTGGACAGTTTGAAATTGGAACTTTCAGTTTTCCTTTTTGATTTGGTTAGGCCTAGTTCAGTTTGGACTTCATAGTTGTACATGCTGTTTGGAAACTTTTGGAATTATGCAGCTTTTGACAAACCTTGAATTTGTGCAATATTATAAATTTATGCATTTCATTCTTTAATTGCAAGACATTCCATCCCTCTTTGTGAACCAAGAGAAATCTTGTGATTTGCAGAGAGGGCAAACTGATTCCGGCCAGTTGCTTTTAATGATGATCTTTTTAACGGTCTCTGCTCTTTTATTTTATCTGCTTTTGATTTCTTTTCTTTTCTTTTTGCAGGTAAAGATAATTGAGCAAAGGAGCATTGGATAGAAGATGAAGATTTCAAGACATTTAGGACATAACTTTATTTCAATTTTAATTATTTGTAATAATATTAATGTAAATAACTGTAAATAAATTTAACAGTATTTAAATAATATCTGTAACAAACAATTCAAAGTGAATAAACATCCTTTTTATCAGTTAATTCCTCTTTCAATTTACTGTCCATTTAATTATTTGAATTTCTTAAATTAATATAACTGGAAGTATCCAATTATTCTGACTTAGAAAAATAATTAATAAACACTGTGGTCTTGCCATTTAGCATGAATTAATAATAAACCTGGCGCTCCAATTAAAAAATGCATATTTAATCAAACCAACATCCAGATACTTATCTTTTTACTGATTATATCAAACACTGCAGATTCTCAATTTAAGTACCTCAGCTTTTATCTCATCTCAAATCAAATGCCTTAGCCTTTACTGATTAAACAAAATACTGCAAGTTCTTGATTCAAATGCCTCAATCCAAATCTCAGAGTAAACTGAAAAGAACTGTAGGATTAATTCTTTCTGAGAATGCGCGCACAAAAAATCCTAATTCTTGATTAAATGTCAGAGAAGTGTTCGCCTGATCAAAACTTGAGCCAACTTAACCAAACCTTAGCAATCTGCTTGAACTGCTTTAAAATTAATGAAAACCCTAAATTTTGTCTGACTGACAAGAAAAGTCTGTTTGACCGATTCTTGAGCCAGTCTGAAAAATCAGGAAAAGCCCGAAGCTGTGATTTCTTGTGGAAAAAAAGGAGGGCAAATTTTGGGGTACAACAGTTATGTTTTCTTATCTCCTTTATATTTAATATTTACTTTGTTATGAAATTTAATAGTTCATGTAGGGTTTGAAATTTGAAAATGTTATGTTGTCTTATATCCTTTATGTTTAATATTTACTTTGTTATGAAATGTAATAGTTGAAGATGCAGTGAAGTTGACAAAAATGCAACAATAGAGAGTTTCTTACGAGTAAGTTCATCGCAAACTGTTAAATTTTTTTACTTAAAATTATGTGTTTTATATATTTTGTAGTTTAAAATGATAGGTTAAGTTGATAGATTAAGTTGAATGTTTAAGTTGATAACCTTAAGAGAGTTAAGAAGATTAAAACTTCATTACATAAAACTTTCATTACATGATCAAAAGTCAGAATCAAATCTAAATCATGTCGCTGAGGTAAAATTAGACCAATCATAGTCAGCCTCATCATTATCATCAGAATTGGAAAAAAAAATCATCATTTGCCTTCTCAACCTTCTTCTTCTTCTTCTTCTTCTTCTTCTTCTTCTTCTCCTCCTCCTCACTCAGAGAGCTCTCATTAGTCTAAACACAACACCCTCTACAGCAACATCTTGAATCTGAGGATGGTTTTGCACCACAACACCCTCTATAACAACATCTTGATTCTAAAGATGATTTTACACCACAACACCCTCTACATAAATATTTTGATTCTTAGCATTGTTGGTAGCTTGAGCAGGATAACACATGTTGGTTCCTTTAGATGAAGTTGTTTTTGTATTTTGGTTCTTCCATTTTTACATTGTTCCTTCTTATTATTCATCTTCTTCTCTTGAAAGTTTAAAAACCAAAGTTACTCATCATTGTTTCTTTAATTCTATACCATTTCTTTTCTCTTGGAAGTTGGGAAGATTGCATACCACGAGCTGTTCAAATTTTAATGTACTTAATGGAATTGTGTACTTGTAATATAAGTTTTGATATCAATTCAAAATTGGTTTAGAGTTGATTCTGGTATAAAAATTTGACATTTATTCATATACAATATCACAACGGTTAATAGGAACAATTGTTGTTATAAGGCGCGCGCTTTTCAATTTACTATGACAGTCATTGAGCCGTGATTGTAAGTACTGCATATAAAACCACACGCTACATAACAACACCTAGTCCCGCGTGATTATATATCCTTTCCAATTATTATTAAATGCATTTTCTATAGCAGTGATTGTAAACTTTCCCAAAGATTTCAATGACACGGGAAGTAAAAAGTAAAGAGAAGTCTATATTCTTGGACATTGCTTTGATTTTCTAATGTCATCATTAATGAATTATTGGAAAGAGCAACAATAATTACTACTGATTGTGTTCCTTTGATGAATATCATTGGTTAAAAGATATATGGAAACATCCATGGCGACTGACCATCCAAAGGTTGCAGACTACCTCAAACTTAAATGTCAAATATGATATTCTGAACAAGATCGGTGTTGCCAATTGGACACCCTCCAATCATGATTCAGGTATTACCCCATCATTGTCATCTCCATCTTCATTTTCTTTTCCTTCAAGCATATTGAATTTGAGGGCTCTCACCTTCTATTGTACTTTTAACGAGTACAAATCTAACAAAGGACAATGGTTATCTCATATAATTCACTTCTAGAAGACTCCTTTTGTGAGAGTTTTTTTTATTATATTTTATATACATCTTGGAGGTGGTCATTGGTTAGAAATTTGAAAAGACCTTGTACTTTTTATGGTGCATTAATCCTTCGATTATATGGCTAGGATGTAGGAAACCTTATTGGCTTTATTTATAGTGTAGTTCACTAATCCTTGTACCCCTTTATAACATATATCTAATTTTGTTGTTAACAAAAAAAATCATCAAATTGTCTCTTAATTAGATCTTGGCCTTTAACCGCCATATACTGTCATTAAAATTTGCAGAAGTGAAAGATTTGGAAGCTAGCTAGCTATCTTACACAAAAGCTTGATGATACCTTAAACCAACAAAATGCCTCTTAGCAACAAAAAAATGATAGAAAAATAATAATAAATAAGGAATTCGCAATATATATTGCAATTTACACTTGATCAGTACTTTCACTCCAATTTTTTATTGCTTGTCCTACAGCTTGTTTCACAGCTTGTGCATCAATGGTTTCACCTTCTTCTTCATTCTACATAAGTCACAACACCATTCCATCATTCTCATGCAAGAAAAATATTGGTTATTGATAAATTTAGCTAGCTTCTATATATAGTAGACAATTAATGTAAACTATATAGTATTATTAGGGTTAAGATTATAGGTATTACATGACCAACATCAATGATTCAATGTACAGCAACTTGGCCCCTCTTCTCGAGAAAACCAATGAGGAAACGTTTTTATATAAAGGGACAAAACATGTGACATACAAAAATATTGACAAGTGAAGAAAAAAGATAGAGAGGTTAATGTTTCTCATGTTGAGCTTATTATAGTGATTAACTTATCTTAAGTGTAAAAATGTTTGAAGACAAATATGATTTGTCTCGATAATTCAGTTCAGTTGATAGATGTATCAGTGTACGAAGATTACCTCTCCTCCAACAGCTTGGAATCGAAAATTGTCTGTACAAGAAACCCTAGCTTCCAGAACTGTGAGTCTCATCTCTTCAATGGCTTCAAGTATTGAAACAAGCATACCTTGGCTGCTTTTTGCTGAAAAAACATTTATCAGAAAGCCTTTTTCTAGGGTTTCCACCGTAATCTGCACAAATAATCCATCCACATAATGTAACTCCATTAATCAAAATCTCATATTGGCAAAATCTTAGAAAATTAACTTAATCATCAACATATATAGAAGTTATTAGGGTTATGATATTTCTAAAGATAGATTGAAATTATCTATTAAAATAAACACTCATAAGATTGTTTGTTGCGCGGATACTTGTTCATAATCTATTTATAATAGACTAATACATAAACATATTTATGATATTAGAGATTAATTAAGTTGTTTATCCAATTGTGTCTGTGTCGGGGTCTGTGTCTGATTGAGTTTTAAAGAATTACTTATATTTATTTATATTGTGAATCTAAGTACTTTCTGAATTACCATAGGCAAAGGATTATGAACACTTGAACTTTCTGCAGAAGCTATTTCTTCATTTAGTCTATCAACCTTTTCCTTTAGATTTTCGATATACTTTGATGCATCGATTACAATCGAAGTATCGCTTAGCTGCCATCAACCATGCATATAAACCATAACAAGTATATTAGAAAACGTTAATTCCATTAGTAAAAATGAAAGCAAATATATAGCATAGGTTTGAATATTGTTTATTGGAATTGGTTGATTTGAATGAGAATATTGATGAAGAGAAAAAGAAAAGATAGATATAGCAGCAGAGAATATTTACAGCATGAGAGTTAGTAACAGAACGAAGAAGTTGCAGCTTCTCATGCAGTGCTGCTCTCTTTTGCTCCCTAGAAACCATTCTTTTGTGTTTTCTCTCTGTCTATCTCTATCTCTCTCTTTGGTGCAAAGTTTTTCTTTTGCTATCAATTTTGATGAGTTCTGAGGTTATTTAAAAGGAAGAGAAATGAGCTCTCAAATCCATATGATCTCATGTGTTTTCTTCTCTCACATGACTCTATATGTTTATTCAAAGACAAAATTCTATATAGATTTTTTTGTGCAACTTACTAAAACACCCTTTTGAGTTTCATTTATGCATTGTGAATAGATAGAAGAGAGAAGGTTAAATTGGGAAAATGGAATATAAATTGTGTTTAGGAGATATTGGAAGTAATGGGAGAACTTGACTCGTGAATAATTTAAGCATCGAAAGAAGTGAAAGAGAAGGTGTGAGTTTGGAATGGTTCCAAACACACCTCACGGGGGATTTTTGAGCCACTCTTGATCCTTTCTCAAACATTTTTGTCACTTTTTTCCATTCTCTCTCCACACGTGCCATCATATACTCTCCATCTCATCGTATCAGACACTCAACCCTCATTTTCCTTTTTTTTTGAAAGCGATATTAAATGCTATTATTGTTTGTTATATACTTGTTTTTCATATACTACATTATTTTCATGTTAATTGTGAGTTACTACTATTGTTGTGTTGTTCATAACAAAAACTTACCAATTGAAGATTACACAACGTTGCTTTGAGCAACCATATTGGTTACATATTACGATACTCTAAGATGGTGGTGTCTTCCAGATGAATTTTGCTAGATAGATTTTCATCTAAGGAAAGTCTATTCGAGTAAAAGATCATTATTGACTCGAAAGAGATCTCGTGTATCATTTGTGGAGATCAGATTGAGTCATTCATTCATTTGTAAGTGATTTGTAGTTTGGTCTCTAATATTTGGAAGATTTTTAGCTGGTTAGAAGTGTATTTGACTCTTTCTAACGATCTTAGGTTTGCTGTTAAGTTTTTTCCTTTCTTTAGACTCTAAAGCTAGGTTTAGGAGTAGATTATTATGGTGATTTGATATGTTGTGATGTGACTATCTCGTATATTCGTAATGATAACTTTTTTCTGGTTAGTCAATAAATGTAAAAGAATTGGACGATAAAACTATTTTTTTACTTGGAGTTAGTTTCTTAAGAGATCACGTGTGAACTTTATCTCTTTCTCTGATTGACTTCAAAATCTTATTATTTGTCTGGATTAATAGTAGATCGGTACTCCTGACTTGATCCACTGGTACAAGTGGTTTCTTTTGTTGTTTTCCTTGCATTTGGGTGGCCGTTGGAGGGTTCGAGATATGAAATCTAGCTTGGTCCTATTAGGTGGTGATTGTATTGCGGGTTGTTGTGATGATGACAAGGTTCAATTTAAATCAACACTTTGATATGTGGGGCAAAGAATAATGGCAACCAAACAAATGGTCTCAAGCAATAAAAATAATAGTAGGTGAGAACACAAGAAATTTGCTTACCCAGTTCGATCAAATTATCTATGTCTGGGGGAGAGAATAACTCTCAAATTAACTATACTCCAAAAGTTATTACAAAAGGTTACCAATGAGTTAAAGAAAATAGCCTTCCAAGTTTTCAAGAACAAACCCTATTTTCTACCCGAGTGTTTCCCAATATCTTCAACTCTCCATATAAGAATAACACAAAGTCAAGGTGTTTAAAGTGTTTATCAATCCCTATGAGAGAAACCCTATTTTCTACCCTTTGCTTTCTCAATAGAATTTCTACCTTATGTCACTTGACTCTACCAAATGAGAGAAAACTCATATTTATAACTAACAAAATGTTAACGGGCCCAAGATATGACCCATTAATAAACAAATCCATAAACAAGGGTTTAAAATTGAAAATATCTCAGGACGGATTGTGCAAAAATTATTGGTTTGAAACACATTTGACAATGAATGTCAAAATGGGAAATGAAAAATAATTGCACTAAATGAAACAACGAAAGTAAAAGGAAACTAAATTTATAAATGGGACGCAAATGTATACTTTGATTCAAATCACTCGTTTCTCCCTAACACTTGGATACTTTGAGTATACATGATTTGTGTAAAATTGAGGACCTTTAATCCTATAAACACAAACTACTTATATACTAGTTGTAATATAACTTTCACCAACGTTTGATTTAGCAAAGCTTAGCACGTCTCCATTTCCATGCATATGTGTCCTTTGATAAGCTTACACAGATTCTTCAATAAATGTTTGATCTTATCCTTTTACTTCTTTCTTCGACAAAAGCTTGTAATCTGTAGTAACGCAAAAAATTGGAAGTCTTCCAAATTTTACTAAGTCCCAAAACTTAATCATCTTCGACTCAACCCTTATTGATATTCACATTTTGACCAAAGTTCCAACCGCACCTCGACTAAACGTGGTTTTTGAATAACCAACTTCTACCTTATGGTCGAAAATGACCATTTTTACTGGGGCACAACCCAAGTCAGTTCATCACAAGGCTACAAGATTATCTTTAATCCCTATATTTATGTCTTGTGTTGAAAAAATAAGGTAACAAGTTGCCTCCCAAAAATTCCAGTTGTCGACCATATAGATGTCAAAAGGGAGAAAAGTTGCGTGTTTTGAAAAATTCTTTTGACAATGTTCAAAGTAATAAGATGACGTCAGCATTATCATTGCACCCTTATGTAAAATGTCTTTTCCGATGGATATCAAGGATACTCCATCATTACCCTTATTTCCTAGGAGATCGCGGGCTACAAACTCCATAACTTCCCACTAACATTTCCACTTTCTGAGAAATTAAAATGTCTCCTATCACCATTTGTTTCTCCACTTGTTGCAAATTCAGTAGGAAAAAATCCCTATAAATACCAACTTCAACTCTCTTCATTCTTCCATTCTCATTCTTAGAATCTTCATTTTCTCCCTCAAGAAAGAAAATTTATGAAATACCTTTTCATGGATCTCGGAACCAAAGTTTTTGTTTCGAACATGACACCTTTCGTGGATCGATGCGTTGGACCTGACTGGTTCATGAGGAAATTTCCCGGTGTTACTCCTGCTGGTGCCGAAGAAAAATTCGTTTGGGAAGTGTAATACGGTGGAAGAAATGACTTTTTTGGTTTTATCCAAAATATGCGGATATCTAGAGTCACCGCCGACTTTTCTTTTATCCAATAAGGAAATGGGTGAAAAGAACAGGAAAGACCTTGATAGATTTTGAGTTTGGGGGGGGGGGGGGGGGGGTAAGTTATGAAAATGGAAGGTGTTAGCACCCTTTTCATCTGTAGTTATCTGCGGCCTCTTAATCGCTAGCTCACTTTTGAAAACTTTCTTTGTGTGTATGTGATTTGAAAACATTTTTGAAAAGCCATAGTACGGCTAACTTTGTAATAGTTCTTAAGTCATTCCTCAAGAACGTTTACAAAGTTTTTTTGAAAATATTTTGTTTGAAAGTGTGATGTGTAAAAAATGTTTTTAGAAAAGATTATGAGCAAACGATTAATAGTTCTTACCCACTCAAGTCTTTCTTGTTATTTTCCTTCTCCATTAGAGATAGTACTATCCATACTATTAGTTGGTAGATAGCCCTATCTATTGGATGTGAAGGGACAGGTGTAAGGTCATCGTATGATCATCGAAGGCAACATATAGAGATACTTTAGCAATTTATCGGAGGGATAAGATCATTTTTTTGTACGCAATATTGAAGGGTCATCAAAGGACTATGATCTTTATTTGAAGGAACTTTGCTAAAGTATCCTTACTTTCGAGGGACATTACCATGTTTCCGAAGGAAACAAAGAGAGGTTACCCTAGAGGTGTAAGGTGTGAGTAATGTGTTCAGTTCAAATATTTATCTTGTATTAGGGTTTGCTAACGATAATTTTTAGATCATGTCATACATGCCTAGTTACTAGCAGTTGAATATATACAGAAAAAGTAAATATGCGGAAAGTAAATCCTAATCTATTACAGGGCTTTAGGGCAGTTACATAAGTAGAAAAATAGGGAAAATAAAGTGTGGAATTAAACCCTAAACTATTACATCCTGTAAGTAGTTACATAATAGGTAAAAAATGCGGAAAGATAAATCTAAACTATTACAACAAAAAAATCGCGCGACCTATACAATTTCTCTAAGAATTTAAATGCAAAATAAAATAAGAAAATAATTTGTTTGAATGTGTTTTTTTTATGAAAATAATTTGATGTTAATGAAATGGTTAAAACCCTAAATCTAGTTAATTTTAATTAATAAAAATCCTAAAGTCTAATTAATTTTAATTTTAAGAAAATATTAATTAACCTAATTAATTAGTAAATAAAAAAATGTCAAAATTAATTATTGATTAAAAATCTAAACTTAATTTATCAGGGTTTTCAAAAAAAAGATTAAAATTAGTTCATGATTAATTAAGGAAATAATTGAGAGAAAAGGAAGAAAAAAAATTAGGGTTAGAAAATCAAAGAAATTATGTTAAAAGGAAAAAAAAAAGTAAAACTGCATAGGGTGGGTGTTGAACCCACTCCCTCTAGCTTCACAGTTGCATAGCTTATCACCAGGCCAAGCGCTGGTTGGTGATAGGAAATAAGTGCTACATATTATATGTAAAACTTGCATAAATTGAAGAAAAAAATAGAAAAAAGTTGCAAAAGGCAGGGATCGAACCCACACCCTTAGAGACCAAAGCCTTAGCACGCGCACGTCTTGTCACTGGGGTGGCTTTTACATCCGGTAGGAAAACAAAACAAAATAAATATAATATAAACAAAATAGTTAGGCCGGAGAGGTGTCGTAGCCCTAGCTCCGGTCGTTTTCTACGACGAGCTTCTTTTTGTCAACCTGTAAAATAGCAACCATTAATGATCAAAAGAAATCCTACCCCTCTGATTTAAGGGTTGTGAGCTCATTGGTGGCCTTAGTTTTGACTAATTCTTCCTGCATAACAAGATACGAACAAAATAATGTAAATCGGACCAAACATGGTGATATACGATTCTGGCATTATGGGACTCATGTGAAGGT